GAGGCGGGGGCGGGGGCGGCTGCGGGGGCGGCGGAGCGAGGGGTGGGCGCCAGTGGGACCCCGGGGGATGCGGCCTCAGAGGGGGCCGAGTTTGATCCCCCGGGCCCCTGCCCAGTCTGCGGCCTGCGAGAGATCGTGGTGCCTTATGTGGCGCTGCCCTGCCGCCACGTGTTCTGCTACTACTGCCTGCGCGGCCACTGTGAGGCGGACACCGCGTTTGAGTGCCCGGTCGACGGCGTGCGGGTGGCGGCGCTCCGGCGGTACAGGTGGCGGCGGGAACGGGGCGGGCGCGCGGGGGACGAGCGGTAGATGTAAAGGAGCTGCCTTTGCTGGCGACCATGTGACGAACAGGGTGCACAGCTGTGCCATCATTGGGTTCGGCCCCCCGAAAGGTCAGGGTCTTCTGCGCTGCACTTGTGACAAGGCAGCGTGTCGGCTTGGCCCTGTTGAAAGGGGTGCATGCAACTGCACGGGAGGGAAGGTACCATGTTTGCATGTTGTGCTGAAGAATTCTTGCGCCGCCGCAGGCAGTCATATGCAAAGACAATCGCACAGTTGGTTGAGTTGTGCGCTCCGAGGCTTAGGTGGTTTCTGCTGCAGTCCTCCCAGCACCGTTCCATATCAGCCTCTCACAAATTCTGTTCGTTCACGAGGAAGATCAAGGACCGAAAACAGGAACGAGGCGGATTTCAAATCTACGAAGCACGCGATGGCCCCGGTCCAGGTCGGCTCGCAACAGCGATCGAATTCCACTGCAACACCCGACGTGCAACACCCGGCGTGATGTTTTTGTATAACGTGCGGTTGCGGGAGCTCACAGTGCACCGGCTCGATGTTTGTGAACCCTCAGCGCAGCCTGGGCGGGGCAACACCACAGCTCGAGCTGAGAGCTGCACCTCGCCACGCCGCAGGTCAAGCTTTTGGACCCTAGCGCTGGCGAGAGTGTAGAGATCGATATCGAGGCCGACACGCCCCAGCTGGAAGTCAAGCGCCAGCTGCACCTCAAAACGGGTGCGGACGTGTGCCTGCTGCAGCGCCTGCTCGGTGGGAAGGAAAAGCCAGCCATGGCCCTATGTAGCGCAGGCCAACGCAGGCTGCTTGAGAGTATTGCCATCACTTCCAAGTACTGCTGATGCGTCTGCATTTTTGGATGCACTTCAGGCGTTCCCATCGAGCACATCAAAGTCATGCTGAGTGGCATCAACCAGCTCGTCATGGGCGACAAGAGGTGTGTGAGTTGGAGGAAAAGGGATGATCAAGCGGGCAACAGCTTGGCCGGTGTCATCGCCGTGCCAGGGCTTGCATGTTTGTGCCCACTTTCCACACAGCGCTGCTGCTGTTGCCGCCCTTGTTCGGTCAATTTGCTCCTTGCTGCGACACGCAGTCTCTGCACTCATTTGTACGTACTCGGCCCCGATTTGCACTACTGTACTTGCAGGCAGCTGCGTTTCTCGTACTGCGGCTCGGCATCCAACATGTACTTTGCTGTGCCGCAGAAGCAGGCCGAAGCGTGACGACACAGCTCTGCATCTCACAGCAATTGCCTGATGAGCCAATCTCGCGCAGCATTCGTGCCAGCTGGCGAACAAACCTGGCTAGAACCTGCTTGATTTGGTGGCGGGTTGCGGTGTAAGGCGGGAGCAGCCGCAACTCTTGGTGGTATATGCCATGTGCCCTGCGGCAACTTCCTGTATGCACCACCCCTGCGGGGTTGTGATCAACCCCTTGGCGTGTCGACGGCCGAGACGGCAGGACAGGGGGCAGCATCAATTCCTGTTGCACCGCCAATCGCTTGCAAAGCGGGGCGGGGCCGGCTGGAGGGATGCATTTCTGTTGACGTGGGTGCCAGCCGCACACTGCAACTGTACTGTATGTGCCATTGAAATGGCAGGGCCAGCCTTTCCAAGATAGCATTACGGAAACAGTCATGTATCCTGCAGATAAGTTCAGGAAAGCCATGAGCTCAAAGCATTAATGCAATTCCTGACCAACTTGACTGGAGGATTTGCGAGCAGGCAATTCAGCAACCGTCAGGCTCAGCACGGCGGCTGGGGAACGGCAGCGCTGCACGCGGTCACGTTTCAGCCACCGACGGCGCTGGTGCAGGCCGCTCAGAAGCCTCGATTGTGAACCTGAATGCCAGGCTGACGTCATCATCAGTGAACGGCACCCACTCCGCATACTGGTCGAGTTGTGGGAAAGCGGGGCAATTGGTAAAGCGGGATCGGGCAACGGTCAAACTGAGTTTTGAGCCTGCAGGTGTTGTGTGAGGGTGATGACAAGCAGGGCGGAGCAGCGGCCAGGCCAGAGGAGGTTTGGGGCGAGGGGGGCAGGTGGGCGTGTCGCAGCGGCGCCGCAACGACAATTGACAACAGCAGGCGCCGTCGCCGTGCAGCGCCCCAGCCAGCTGCCGGAGCGGGCGCCCCCCCCCCCCCCTTCCCTGGGGCGCCTCACGTTCGTGCCCCAGACGTTGTTGTGCAGGCAGGCGCTGACACCCTGGTCCATGTCGGGCCCACGTGTGGGGTTTGGGAAGGGCCGCGGCTCGCCCAGCGCCTGGGAGGGTTGTGGCGTGGCGGGCAGGGGGGCTTCTCACACAGCGCCTCCTGTGGCCACCATCAGACAGTGCTTGGATCAAGCATAGCTTTTCACCTGCGCACGCACACACCCACCCACACACACACACACACACATACACGCACACACGCGCGCGCGCGTGCACACGCACACACAAACACGGCCAGCGTGCGTAACCCCCTGCCCCCTCGCATGAGGCTGCCCGCGCCCACCAGGAGGGGGGCATCGTGGGGCCGGATGCGCAGCAGCTCGTCCCCATCTGGGCTGGCCACTGTGACGCCCTCCTCAGACACGCCGTGAATGGAGTGGGACCCGTTGACCAGGATCTGTGGCATTGCCAACGTGCGTAGGTGTGTGCATGTATGTATGTGTATGTGTATGTGTGTGTGTGTGTGTGCGTGCCCATGTGCGTGTGTGGGAGGGAGGTGCACGTGTTCCTGCGCGTGTCGGGATAAATGAGGGTGTAGTTGCATGGATGTGTGATCGAGCACGCATGGAGCACACATTGAGCAGGGGCTGGCAGACGCACGAACAGGGCGCTTCGGTATACCCAAGCCCCACACAACACGTATCTCAGCACCACACCCCTTGCCGCGCCCAACTCACATCCCGCGGGTCTATCCAGCTGCCGATCTTGTGCATGCGCCAGCTGGCGGTGTCCACGGCGCCGCGGCCGGGCGTAAAGCGCACCCACAGAGCCTCCGGCAGGCGGGTCGCGGTCTTGTTCTGCGGTGGCGACGGGTGGCCGTGCAGGTGTTGGCGACGCGAGAGCTTTGTGCAAGCAGCACTTGACATATTGGCCAAGTTGTGCTTGCCAGACGCAAGCTCGGAGAAAGGCAAAGATGGAGCACAAAACCATGCACTGAGAGGACGAAGAGCAGAAGCAAGGAGGAGGACCTAGACACGTGAGGTCAGCAGACCCAGTCGAGGACCCACCTACCTGCCAGGCCACGGTGACCAACAGGACGTCGCTGTCGGGCGGCGAGTGCAGCACCATCCAGGCGGCGGCGGGCGCCCCCGCGTCTCTCACCAGGGAGCGGGGGAACTCTGGTGGATGTTTTGGGGGGTAAAGCGGGAGGGACAGGGGAATGGAAAGGAGGGGGGCAGGTCAAACAGGGGTACGGGTGAGGAGCAGGGCTCGAGGGGGGGGGTCGGAGGAAGGCATGAGCAAGGGGGAGGGTCTGTTGATGGTGCATCGACGTGATGTGTCACGCCCACGGGCGTGAGGGGCCCGCCGCTACCGCTCAATGAGCTGGGGCCTGACGGGCACGGCTCAGCAGGGTCAGCACTCTGCAAAAGCGAGAGAGCTGGCGATGCATTTGAATCCAAGCCCACGTGTGCGACGGCCCGCTTCCTCACCGTACAGAACATGCCAGATCAGTCCGTGCTGCGGGTCCTGCATTTGACGCACATCAGATATGAACGGCTGCGAGGGGGTGGGATGGGGTGGCATGGGGGCGGGGAAGGTGCGCAAGAGGCAATCTCAACGTTGGCGTGCGGGTCCAGTATCACGCAAGTGGCGTCAGGCAAGCCAGGGCGGCAGCCGTGGCAGATCATTGAGTTGCTTGAGGTGGAGCGCGGGGTCTGTGCGTGCGATCGGCCCGCCGCCGCCCCCCGGCAGCTCTCACCACTGACTGCTGCCGGAGGGTGGAGGAGGCGCTGAGGTTGAAGCGCCCAAAGTCGCCTGTGAGAGGGGTCGTGCAGGTTTTGTTGATGCGTCGCGGCTCGGAGCGCTAGGCCAGCACCGCACAAGCAGCGGCAGCAAAGCATGTGCGTTTATGGAGACGCGCTGTTCAGCCATCTGCAGGGAGACGCTTGCAGGCGTGGCATCGCGGCATGCATGTTGCTAGATGGCTCACCAGTCCAGACGGGATGGACAAAGGCGTCTTAAGAGGGGGCAAGGACACGGTATTTTCAGGCGCACACGGAAACGGCGTCATGGGGGGCAGTCAAGGTCTGTATGCGAAAGGGACTTTGCAGTACGGCCGATGAAGCCGGGGCCCTGATCATACGCAGCAAGGTAAGAGAGCCAACCCAGGAAAGCGCAAGGCGGCAACGTGCGGGCTCCTCCCCCACCAACACAAGCGCCGACTCACAGTCGTCCCAGATCGGCTGCAGTGAAAGAGGCGGCAGTGTCGGCGCAAGCAGAGTGAGTAAGGAGTCAGGGCTGCATCGCGCGTCTCAAGCAAACGTGAAGCTAGCCGTTCAATTTTTTGAAAGCCCTCCAGTGAGACTGCCGGGGCCATTCTTGGCGCCTGTGTATATCAGATGGCTTCGCCCCTGCAGCAGCACCACACCCCAGCAGTAACGCAGCTACGCAAGGAATCATGATACCGCTCACCTGGAAGTCTGACTCGTTGTACACATTGTACTGCAGCTGCAGAAACCGGGGTGGCGGCGGTGGCAGCACTCCGAGGCTGCCGCTGCCGCTGCCACCATTGTCGGCGGCGGCGCGTCTGCTGGTGGCGTGTGGCGCGTCGGCTGCCCAATCGTGGCCCTTGCGGCGCTCGCCTTCTGAGTTTGAGTAGACCCGCCTGAGGCGGCTGATGCCACCTTTGCGTGTGTGCGTGTACGTGTGTGTTGTGTTGTGCTTGTGTGTATGTGTGTGTTGTGTTGTGCTTGTGAGTGTGTGTGTGTGTGTGCATGTGCGCGCGCGCGCGCGCGCGTGTGTGTGTGTGTGTGTGTGTACTGCTTTTGTCACGCCAGACGCCCACGGAAACTGTCAGGCAACCATGCCACACTGAGGGGGACCTGTCCATCCCTGCAGCCTGCCGATGCCGCCTGCAACCCTCCTGCTGCCCGCCATGGGGTCGACCCACCGTGCCAGGGGTCGAGCTCAAGCGACCAGCTCTGGCTCTTGAACACTAGGCGCGCGTCATCGTCGCCGTCGTCGGAGGAAAGATGAAGAGGCCCATGAGGCGCAGAAGCACCACCGCCGCCGCCGCCGCCGCCCAGCAGCCGGTCCCCGCCGCCCGCCCCCGGCCGCAGCCACCTCGGAAGCGCGCGCGCCGCCTTGGCCCACGCGCCCGCCGCGCCGCCAGGCTCGCCACGCGCGTCGGGGCGCCGCGGCGGCAGCGGGACGCGGGTGGTCGCGGCGGCGCCGTCCAGGGCGCGGAGCGAGACGGAGGAGTGGTGGTGGCGCTGCTGGCGGTCGGCTTCAAAGTCCGCCAGGATGGGATGGCCCTCCGGCAGCTCCTGAGGGTTGGTGAGGAGGAGGGATCAGAGCAGGATCTGAGGCGAGGCGCGGGCGCTCAAGACTGCGCATGCAACCGATGATCTCTGCCATCTGGCTGTTGTTGTTTGGCCCAGAGGTTTCGTAGTGTTGTGGCACTCTGCAATCATGCAAGGTCCTTGCCAAGGCCGGAAAGCGGGGCCATCGCGGCACTGTGCATGGCGAGCGCCATGCCAAGGCACCGACAGCCAGCGCTCAAGAGGTGCCGGGCATGCGGACAGCGCACCTCCAGCGCCCAGCGCACGTACTCGCGCTGGCGCCGCCACGACTCGACGATGCGCGCATACTTGGGCTGCGAGTTGAGGGCTGCCAGCCTGGCAAGGGGCGGGAGCGGGCAACAGTGACATTCGGGAGTCGCATGTGGGAGTTGTCCAGGGTGTGTAGGATGCAGCGACCTGTCTGTGCTGAGGACGCGATGGAATGCCCTGGGTGGCCGATACTGCCCGACGGACTAGGCTGCGCACGGCCGACAGCGCGGGCATGCAAGGAGTAGGCTGGCAGCGCCTACCTGGGATGAAGGTATGCGTTTGTGTAGTTGGTGACGTCACCCAAGTTTTGGTCAAAGGCCAACCCTGCGGACGGTGGGATGCCGAGGGGCTGGGGTCGGCCGCAGCCGGAAGACATGTGAGTATGTGTGGGGTGGGAGGCTGGGGGATGCTGGGTGATGTCAGTAGCAGATCAAGGCGCCCGTCGCAATGGTATCAGCAAAGGCGACATGCAGATGCATAGCTACATGGCCGCCATCAGGTGGACAATCCCTCACCCCAAGTGTGCTCTGCCACTTTGATAATCAGCCGGCTGAACTGCTTAAAAGCAGGGCTCTGCGATTGGGCCCCGGAGGTGATTGAAGGTGTTGTTGGGGCTGCAATACAAGCGGGTGTCGCAGCAGCGCAGCTGTACTTAAGTGATGCGTTGATGGGCAGGTTGCAGTGCACGGCGCGTGCGAGTGCACACCGCGGCCATCGATTGAGAGGCAGCTCCTGCTTTTGTGTCACCATTTGCTGCAAAAGCAATGCGCAGTGCAAATGCCGCACACACGCCATCGATTGAGAGGCAGCTCCTGATTTTGTATCACCATTTGCTGCAAAAGCAATGCGCAGTGCAAATGCCGCACACACGTGCACCCTAGTCCCAAGCAGGCCCTCAGTCCAGAGATCGACCGGCACGCGAGCGCGCGCGCGTGCGAGCGTGCCTGGCTGTCGCAGGTGGCGTTGCGGACGCAGCGCGCGCGTGCGCGCAGGGCCGCGCGGTAGTCCGCCACCCTCAGGGGGTCGCAGGCGCTGCCGTGGACCCAGGTGTCCCCAATCTCGCCTGGTGGGCGGGTGCAATGCGTTGGTGTCGCGCGACGCCATTCAAAGCAAGCGGAGGCGATGGGGTCAAGCGAGATGCCAGGTTAGCGACGCCGCGGGGGCGACTGAGGGGGTGCGAGGACATCAGGCAGGCGGCGCTTGCCCCCTTCGCCCCCTGCGGGCCCCACTGCCACGCCTGTATGCGCCGGTGCTTGCCGAGGCGCAGCGCAATTGAAGTCGAACGCATGCAGAAGGGTGGGTACAGAGACAAGGCAAGGGGGGGTGCAGCGCTAATTCGGTGAGCGGGCGCCCAGCGGGCATGCGCCGCGTCACCACCCCATGCCCACCTGTCACGACAGGCAGGTCGAGCCCCGGCGCCGCGGCCAGCAGGGCGGCGGCGTAGTCCTCCAGCGTCGACGCGACCACCCTGGCGCCCGGCCAGGCACGCCGGACGGCGTCGTAGATGGCGCGCGCCTCCGCGGGGCTGGCAGGGGGGCCGCCGTTGTCGTCGCGCCAGGAGGCGCAGAACACGTGATCGAAGCCCTGCATTAGTGGAGTGGGGCGGGGTGGAGGCGGGGCGCGTGGGCCTGTGCGCAAAACACATGTGACGGGGCAGCACCGGGACCAGTACGGAAGTGAAGAGAGGAGGGCGAGGATCAGAGGCGGGAGGAAAACGAGGCAGCAAGTAGGGTATGTTGAGTGCAGAGCAGATTTCTGTGGTGCTGGGGCGCGGCGTGGGATGCAGGATGCGGCCTGCAGGCGCACCTCTGCCTTGATGCAGTCGTCTGCATTGTCAGCGTGCAGGTTGTCATGCCAACCCGCGTAGCCGCCTGCTCGTGCGGCGAAGGCGCAAGGGAGGGCGACACCGGAAGCAGCCGTGAAGCTACCAAACGGGCCGCGCGCTCATAACCACGCACGCCTCAGAGCAAGCATTCTCACGCACCCTCCAAACGATGGGAACGTTGATCTGCAGCAGGCGCCGCGCCATGAAGCAATCAGCACCCACACCGCGGCAAGGCTCATCCCTCCGAGGGCCCCACCCTGTGAAACCCCACAGCCCCGCAGCCGCGGCACGCACCCTCGTGCCACATTGCCAGGATCTCCGCGCCGCTCGCCAGGTCGCGCCACACAAAGGGCGTGCGCTTGGGCACCCCGGGCGGCGCTGAGAAGCCGTTGACGCCGCCAGTGAGCGCCCTGACGCCGTGGGCGGCCATCACGGGGATCACGCCGCGGGTCATGCCGGGGACGTCGCGCTGGGGTGGCGCGCAGTGGGGGGGCGGGGGTGGGGGGCATCAGGGTGGAAGGTGAAGGGTGCATGCAGATTGGGTCAGGTCGCCGAGCAGGTGGGGCGTCGCAAAATAGACGCTGCCGCAGCACGCAGCGCGGCAACTTAAGTTGTTCTCGCACGGGCTGGAACAGGTGGGCGGGCAAGATGGAGGGGGGGGGCCAGCGGGGGGTTGCGCGTAGGGTGCCTGGGCCAGCTGCCAGTCGATTCACAAAAGCGCCAGCTGCAAGTCGGCTCACCAGGCTGGCTATGGTCTTGGGCTTGAGGCCAAACCTCGCATCCAGCTCGTGTGTGAGTTCAAAAGAGAACCCCAGGGTATCAGAATCGTACATCTTGGCGGGGGCAAGCGGATGGTTACAGGAGGGGGACTCGTGGGTTTATGGAGGGTGAGGTGGCTGCGGCGGCAGCGGGGGTCACCGGGGCAGCTTGTTCGACGCGCAGGCACCGCCCTGCTGGAATTGTGTGCTGCCGCCTTTGCTTTCCAGCATCTTCATCAGACAGCACCTCGCCTTGGACACGGGCCGCCCCTGGCGCCCACTTGCGGCGCTGCTCCCACATTTGGCACCTGTCACCCGCCCTGCACGCGGAAGCCACCCTCTTCTCAAACAAATACACACGTGGGCTCATGCACACGTTCTGCCATTCTCACCTCATAATTTGGGTTGAAAGGCGCCGCATGCCAGTAGATTACGCCCTGCTTGATTGCATCAGACAGCTCCTGCTTGTCTTCGGCAGAGGGGCACGTCACACCCACGCGCGCGGGGCAGTCGAAGAACAGCGCGATCAGCCATGAATGGGTCAGGTAGCGGAAGCCGTCGCCATCACCGTGGCGCTCGAACCAGCGAGCGAGCTGGATCTGTTTTGGGGAGCGAGGGGTGTTGAGGCGGGGAGCCGACGGCTTGAGGGCGGGATCTCGGCCACAAGGGGCCATGGGTGGCCGTTCGGGGATTGCGCGGGGAGGCTGGAATGGGTGCCGCATGCAGGTAGACGACCCTCCCCGCATGCGCTTGCAAGATTGTATGTGCCGCTGCTTTTTTGGCCGCCGGGGCTGCTGGGGCCTTGCGGAGGATGGCGCCGGAGAGGCTGCTTGGTGTGGCCGCGGCAGCGGGCGGCGGCCCTCGCGGCCCCCTCACCGCGCGGGGGTAGTGCGTGTACCAGTGCAGCTCGATCACGGCGTTGTCGAGGTCAGTGAAGCCGATGTCCTGTGATAGCGGAAATCAGCGGTCGCAGCATGGGGACACGCGTCATACATGAAGATAGTTGTGCCGCCCATGCTGTGTCGGGGACCCCGGGGCAAGGGCATCCCAAGACGCAAGCGATCGCCGCCGGCAGCACCAGGTGCTAGAACAATCACCAGATGGCTGCTGAATATGAGGTGCACCGTCTTCTGCTGCTCCTGCGCGCTCGCGGCCGCACAGATCACGGCGAGCGCCGCCAGCACGCAGAGCGACGTCGAGCCCCGCGATCTCATTCTGCTGCGCTCCAGCATGCCTGTGTGAACAATCAAAATACCAAATGCATGAGGGTATGGCTTCCCAATCTGCTGGCGTGTTATCTGCTTTGCGGTGACCTGGCTCTTTGAGCGCCTTGGCTTCCAGCGGAGCTCGTGCAGGGCTTGCATCCGACCGAGGGACGTCGCTCAAGCCAGAAGCTTTGATATCATTGCCTGATTCGCACGTGATCGCACATCAAAAGAGGGTACTTTCGAGCTGGCTGGCTCCGCGGCCCATCTGCACGGCCGTGCGCAGTCCCACAGCCCCTCCCGCCACGGAAGTGCTGGCCTCACGTACGGTACCTCAGCAAGCGCACGGCCCCTCGAGAGCGGCACCTTCGGGACAGCGGCGCGCATCTCATCCCGCTGCGCCATGAGCACCCCCTTCACCAAGCAGGCCGTGGCGGCAGCCTCAAAGCCGCCTCAGGTGCAGCCAGAGCTGCATCCTGCTGCAGAGACTGACATTTACAGGTGCATGGCGTGGCGTGGCACGATGGGCGGGGGCGGGACGGTACGTGGGCGGGGTGGGCAGCCCGCTGTAAAGCAGTCCAAGGCCGGAAGCTGCGCGCCCTGGTGCACAGCCCGGGTCGCACGCGCGATTGCAGCTCAATCAGCACCAGCACAACATTGGAATTTCAAGAGTTACTTGTTTGAGGACGTGCCACCCCACCACCTGCACACGTGCGCCCCTTACATATTGGACGCGATTCAACAGGACCTTCTCCCCAAGTGAGATCGCCTATTGGGACTTCACCAAACCGGAGCCCGGCGAGGGGGGCGCCGCCGGCCAAGGGCTCGCACCAAAAAAGAGTTCGGGGGGCCTGTTTTCCAAGCTCGGCAGCCTCTTTGGCACCTCAGGCGGCCCCTCAAAGTGAGAGGGCAAGCGACGCCCCCACACGAGGCCTGTCGCCCCAGGCGAAAGCAAACCGGTTGCCCTGCACCCCGCGGAGGGTGCTCGGCGGCTGTGCATGGCGGCGGCATGCGGCGATCGAGGGGCGGAGCTGCGTCGCCTTCGAGACACCGCCGCAGCGGTGCGTCGTTTTCTTGCCTACGCTGCAGGCAAAAGCGCAGCAGCCATTGTCATCTTGCGCGGTGCCCGGTACCATGAGATTGAGCTGAATCATCCTGCGGTTTTGCGTCTGCGTCACCAGTCACCATGTCACACCTCTCAGGCCCATAACGTCCCCAAGTGCCAATACCCATGGTTCTGAGGCGCATTTTGGGAGCGCGCCCGCACCAGCGCAGATCCACGCTTGTACACCAACCAGTCCCCCGACGACACCTCGCTTGCATGGCGTCGCGTCCCTCTTGCAACAGTCGACGGGCCTTTGTTGCCCTTGAGCTCGGTGGCTGATATGCGATACGCCGCCGCACCGCCCAGTTGATGCTGTACAACTATGCGCGAATGTGGCTTGTCTGCCTTTTTTCCTCTTTCCCCCTGCCGTGCTGGGGTCTATGTGTGGCAGCCGAAGAGACACCACCCCCACTGCCCACTCGTACAAACTTTCCCGACGAGCGCGACCTGGGCGCCATCAGCCCCTGCGCACGCTACATCAGTCTCGCCGCCAACTCCTGCTGCACGTGTGTGCGTTTTCCTGCGACCCTGCACCCAGCACCGTCTGGCTGAGAGATGGCGCACTGACCGTGTATGCCTTTCCCAAACGTTTAGCTTGTAAGTGGAGCCTAACCCAGCGCGCATTGTAGGCGTTCAGAGGCTCAGTAACAGTTGGGGCCGGCGGCGCTCGCTTGTCACGGAAGGTGATTGCAACAACAAACCCTCCACAAACGAGCCAGCCCCACTTGCTACTCGCTCTGTTCACTGCAGTTTGAGAACCTGTTGATAATTCCTTCAGCATGCCTGAGTTTTCATACCAACGTGGCTCCAGTCGGCGTGGCAAATCCCTCAGCCGATGTCCATCGCACCCGCTGCGCACTTGTGAGTCCCCGGGGGTTGTGTTGCCCTTTGGACTGCCACCGGGAGCTCTCCCCCCAGCCCAAGGTACTATGTGGTTCTGTAACAGTCCGCTAAATCCACATCATACATCGCAGAGCCAATCAGCCCGCCTGCCGCTCGAGCGCAGGCTGTGACTTGTAGTGATCTTGCGTACTCTATCTATTGCGGTACAATCACATCTGGGACAGTTCTGTTGAAATCTACAGCATCCGTCACAATGCAGCAGCCCCTGACACAACAGCGCCTCCGGGCCGGAGTGCCAGCATCCCGGCTGCGGCAGCAGAGGCTGGTGGTGCGCGCGACGGCCACCGCGGACCCAACTCGTCAAGATATCCGCAGAGAGGCGCTGGCGCGTGGGCCGGCCGCGGGATCCGAGTTGTTCAATGCCAAGTTTGTTCCCTTCAAGGATGTGCGGAGCGGCAGCCTGTCTGGAGAGCAGTACTCTCTAGGTGAATAGCATACGCTGGTGATTAGGCGGAGACGCCGGCCGAGCAACCGGCCATTGGCACTAGGGGCTCGAATCGCCGTGCCTTGCGTTCTGCAGTAGGAACGCTGGTGAATTGTTAATTCGATGCGTTCAAAGCTCACACGCGCTGGCAGTGAGGACAGCGGGGCCTTCCTCCATGCAGTATGCCGGCTGCTGCGTCCCACCGACGGTGCTGCTGCTCGCGCTGCGGCACAGCGCATGCGCCGCCCTGACGCGACAGCAGTGCTCTGCGGACATACCAAAATGCTGCACGCAACAGCTGCTGCACCCCATGGCGGCGCGAGCCCTCGCCTCGCATCAGCCGCCCACTGCTGTGGGGCAGCCGCCCCAAAAGCGACCTGGCGTGCCCGCGCACTCGTCACCTGCACCCCCCCTCCGCCTCCCCCCGCCCCCCAAAGATGCGGTGCAGTACCGCAGCTCCGACGGCGGCCTGCTGGACGTGTACCACGACATGAAGGAGCTGTCCAAGTTTGGCCCTGACTATTGGAAGTCGCTGTTTGACAGCCGCATCGGCACCACCACGTGGCCCTACGGCTCCGGCGTGTGGAGCAAGAAGGAGTGGGTGCTCCCCGAGCTCGGCGACGCCGACATCGTCTCCATGTTCGAGGGCAACAGCAACCTGTTCTGGGCGGAGCGCTTCGGCCGCGAGGCGCTGGGCATGAGCGACCTGTGGGTGAAGCAGTGCGGCAACAGCCACACGGGCAGCTTCAAGGACCTGGGCATGACCGTCCTGGTCAGCCAGGTCAACCGCATCAGGAAGCTCAAGCCCGGCGCCATCAGCGCCGTCGGCTGCGCGTCGACCGGCGACACGAGCGCCGCGCTGTCGGCATACTGCGCGGCGGCGGGCATCCCGTCGATCGTGTTCCTGCCGGCCGACAAGATCAGCCTGGCGCAGCTGGTGCAGCCGATCGCCAACGGCGCGCTGGTGCTGTCCATCGACACCGACTTTGACGGCTGCATGCGGCTCATCAAGGAGGTGACGGCCGAGACGCCCATCTACCTTGCCAACAGCATGAACAGCCTGCGCCTCGAGGGCCAGAAGACGGCGGCGATCGAGATCCTGCAGCAGTTTGACTGGCAGGTGCCGGACTGGGTGATCATCCCCGGCGGCAACCTCGGGAACATCTACGCCTTCTACAAGGGCTTCAAGATGTGCAAGGACCTGGGGCTGGTGGACAGGATCCCGCGGCTGGTGTGCGCGCAGGTGGGCAGGGGTCGGAAGCAGGGGTGCGGGCGGCGCGCTCAGGGACTTGGGCCACCGAATGCGGGCTCCTGAATGCGGCCTGGTTTGGCCTGTTTTGAGGGGGAATGCGTCGTGTTGCGTTTAAGGGGGGGGTGATGTGGGAGGTTACTTGCAGCGGCTGGCGGGGCCGCCCGGCCGCAGCTGCCGGGCGGCGCTGCGTTTGCCTTTGGCGGCGAGGGCGCGGCAGAGCGGCTGCTTGCTGCCGAGGGGCGCTGCATGGCAGGACCCTGGACGCAGCGGCCATTCCTTCGACCCCGCCTGTTTGGTGGTTGAGCATCATTTTCACAAGCATTTGCACGCCCCAGCACCCGTCCCTGGTCTCCGCGCTTCCTCTTCGTCTACCTGTCCTCAGAATCTCACGCAGCGCCCTCCGCCCTCCCCCACCAACGCCAACCACCACCACCCCCAGGCGGCCAACGCCAACCCCCTGTACTCCGCCTTCAAGAAGGGCTGGGAGCACTACGAGCCGATCTCCGCCAAGACCACCTTCGCATCCGCCATCCAGATCGGCGACCCCGTGTCCATCGACCGCGCCATCCTCGCGCTCAACGACGCCAACGGCATCGTGGAGGAGGCGACAGAGGAGGAGCTCATGGATGCGGCGGCGCGCGCCGATCGCACCGGCATGTTCAACTGCCCGCACACCGGCGTCGCGCTCGCCGCGCTGACCAAGCTGCGGGAGAAGGGCGTGATCGCGCCCTCGGACCGCACCGTCGTGGTGTCGACGGCGCACGGGCTCAAGTTCACGCAGTCCAAGGTTGCGTACCACTCCAAGGAGATCGCGGGCATGGCGTGCAGCTACGCCAACCCGCCGGTGGCCGTGAAGAACGACATCGGGTCGGTCATGGACGCGCTCCGCTCCAAGTTCCCCGCGATCTGATCTTATTCGATCTGATGCAATCTGATGCCGTGTGATCCGGGAGGTCGGGAGGGCGGGTTGGTGGGCGACGGCGGCGGGCACGGGCTGCGGCCGCCACAGCTGGCGGCGGCGAGCCGCGGGCGCTGCGCGGCGAGACCGCACCGACGCCTTCTGCACAAGGGGCGGGCGGGGGCACTGAGGGAAGAATTGGCGGCCGCCGGGAGGCGGAGGCCGGGCGGGGCGCCTCGCCCGGCGGAGGGCCGCTTTGTATAGCTGCGTTGGCACGGGCGGCGCGGCGGGCCGCCCCGCGCCGAATCTGAGCGTTTCTGCTGGCGCGGCCTCGTGGGTTGGTTTCACTCGGGACTGTGGGCTCCAGCCAGGCACGCCGCGCGCGCGCATAGCGCGAGCTCGGGGCCTCTGGTGTGCCGCACTGGCCTCAAAAGCATGCATTCTCCCCGTGCATGTCCATTTTTGCAACATCGTAAGATGAGTCATGTGGTTTACCAATTTCTGATGACTGGCGCCGCGCACGCCTTGGTGCCAGGCCGCTGGGACACGCCGTGTGGCTTTCTGTTGTAATGACTACCGACATTGTTTCGTTGGTGGGCAGTGACCCATGACTGAGCCGATGAGAACAAACCGAAAGCTTGGGCTTGGCGCTAAGAACAAAGCCTTGCTGGTTTGCACCGAGAATTAGAAGAAGGTGTGAATTCCATCCTGCCTGTTGTGTTGAACCAGACAATACATGCACACAAACGCGGGCGCTGCTAGCAAAAGCACACAAGACAGTCAAAGCGCACAGCCGCCGCAGCCCCGAACAGAATGACCGGCATGCAGCAGGGGCCAATCAGCAGCTCATCCCTCCCGCGTGGGGCGCATCGACGCAGCGGGCGTGCGGCCCTTGGAGATGTGCGGCAGCGCGCCGCCCCCACCGCCGAGGCTGCCGTCGTCCGCACCCCTGGCGCCGCCGCCCTGGCCGCCCCGCCAGCCGCCTGGCGGGAGGTGCGGCCCCACGAGGCCGCCGGGCAGCTCGGCAGCCGGCGCCCCGCGCCCGTCTGGGAACCACGCCTGCGGCCCGCGCCCGTCGGCGCCCGCCGCCGCCGCTACCGCCACGCCGTCCGTGCGCCGCCTCGCCGCCGCCGGGCTGGCGCCTCCGCGGCCGTCGTCTTCAGCGGCGCCAGGCCCAGACTGCCCATCCCAGGCCGCAGGCGGGGCCGCCGCGGGCATCAGGCCGGTCGGCACCCAGGGGCCGGCCCTCTCCGCCAGCGCAGCGAGAGGGCGGTCGCAAGCCATACAACGGTACCCCATCACCGCCGGCCGCGACGACAGCATGGCATGATCGCCGTCAGCAGCCAGCAAGGACGGCGACTGTGGCTGCTGCTGCGCCATGCCCCGGCCACCGCCGCTGCTGGCGCCGCCGACGCCGCCGACGCCGCCGCCGACGCCGCCCTGCACCTGCAGCTGCAGCTGGATCTGCTTGACCTGGCCCCCCAGCTTCCGCACGCGGCCCTCCAGATCCCGCAGGGCGCCGGCGGTTGCGGGAAGCTGGTCCCCGGCAGAGGCGGCGCCGCCGCCCCCGCCGCCGGGCGAGCGCACGCTGCCGGCCAGCAGGGCGCCGCCGCTGGCAGCGCCGCCAACGGTGGCGCCAGCGCCCATCCCGAGCTGCGCCTCGGCGGCCGCCAGACGTTGGGCCTGGCAGTGAGACAATTCCAGCATGCGGCAGCGTGTGAACGGTGGCTTTCGTTGTTGTCAGGACGTAGCTTGTGAGAGGGATGGCTGCTGCCGCAGCCGCTCGTATGCGCAAACGGCGGTGCAAAGGGGTTGGGCTAGGGTCCACGATTGCCTGTGCTGCGCAGGGCAGGGCCAACACATATTCTCCGCAGCCGTTGCGGCGGGCATCCACGGTCAGCACCCCCAAAATAACAGGGGAGGCACCCTGGGGCCGCAGGCGCACCATTTTGTGAAGCACCATCGGGTCAAACGCGTCCATCTTCCGGCCCACGCGTCCGCCCTTCACAAGCGCCTCCAGCCGCCCCAGCCCCGCCCCCGCCGCCGCCCCAGCGGCCTCCCCGTCCTGGCCCACGCCCGCGGTGCCGCAGACCGGACCGTGGCCGGCCCTGCCGCGGCCGCCGCCGCCGACGCATGGGCGCGGGCTGGCCGGGTCCTCGCCCGCCGCCAGCACTGCGACAACCGCCGCAACCGCGTCGAGGGCCGCCTCCAGTCGCTCGACGCGCCCCAGTGCACCACCCGCTCCACCGCCTTCCCCGCAGACAACGTCCAACGAGCCGCCGCCTGCCTCGCCGCCCGTGAGCCGGCCCCCCAAGCCACCTGGGGGTGACCCTGCCCGAACTGCGAGCAGCTCCCGCTCCAGCCGCCCACAGCGGCGCTCCAAACGGCCGGCCAGCGCATCAACATCGCCCCTCAACACCCGCAGGGCGCCGCCGCCGTCCCACGCCGGGGCCGGCGCCGGCGCCGGCGTGGCGCCCGCGGCCGCCCAGGACCGCGGCCGCCCGGCGGGCGGCTGCGGGGCGGCTGCGCCGTCAGGCGCAACCGCGTCGTCGTCGGCCATGGTGGCAGGTGCGCCTGGTGCCGACGCCACAGGTGACAGCAGGGCACCATCGGCCTCCAAGGCTCCCACACGCAGCCGCAGGGCCTCGAGCGATGCATGCAGCAGGCGCAGCTCGCCCGCCGCGCCGTCGCCACAGCAGCCGCCGGTCGCGCTGTCGCATCCGCCTGAGCCTCCGACCACACGCGTCGTGAACGACAGCGAGCCGCTGCGCTGCAACCCCTCCCCTCCCTCCTCTGCGCCGCCGCTGCCGCCAGGCCCACCCACGCCGTCTGCCTGCGTGGCGAGCGCCTCCAGCGCCTCAACCCTGAGCACCAGCAGCTGCAAAGCCCCATCCGCCATCGCCGGCCGCCCGGCTTCCGGCCGCGCCCCGTCGCCGCCCCACGCTGCAGCGGGGCTCGCGCGGCCGTCGCTCTCGCACGGCCCGCACGCCGGGGCCGCGGCAGCGGCGACGCCAGCCACCGCGCTGCTGCCGTCCAAGGCACTTTTGGTGACGCCCGGCCCGCGCGGCAGCCGGGCAGCCGCGAGCTCGCCCATGCGCGACTTGAGCTCTGCGCCCTCGCTGCCCAGGCGGCGCACCTCTGCCCGCGCCGCATCGAGGTCGCCCCTCAGCGCGGCGAGCTCGCGCTCCGTCCGCGCTGCCGGCTGCGCCGCCAGCGAGGCGAGCAGCGCGGGCACACCTGCTGCTGCTGCGGCGGCGGCGGCGGCGTCGGCGGCGCCTGGCGGGCTGCGGATGCCGTCTGGCATGTCGTCAGCTGGCGCGATTGGTTTGGTCGAGGTGACTACGAGGGTGGCGGCGCTCGCCTCCCCGATGGCCGTGTCTGATGGCGTGTGCTCCAGTCGCTGCTGCTCCAGTTGCTGCTGTTGCAGGTGCTGCTGCCGCTGCTGCTGCTGCTGCAGCACCAGCTGCTGCACCAAGGCAGCAAGGGCCTCGACATCGGCCCTGTCAGCCTTGCCCTCCAGCACCCTGCTCAGGCCCTGGGGTGCAGCCGCGGCCTCCGCCACAGCCGCTGCTGGCGTCTCAGCTGGCGGTGGCGTGCAGCTGGGGAGCGTGCTGGCGGCAGCGCCGATGATGGGCAGTGATGGCGAGGGTCCCTTGTCAGGCGCCCCGCTGATCGCCTCGCACGCGTGCGGGGCGGCAGCCTCGAGGGCAGCCATGCGGCCAGCCAGCGCCTGCGCAGCACGTCAGGTGGGGGCACATGCGTTGATCAAGACCCGGCAGCGGGCCATGATCATGCGCCTGAGTGTGTTTTTGCCGTCGCGGGATGTCCCCTCACCTCTAGTTGAGATCGGAGCGTGTCGTCGCCGCCTCGGTGAAAAGCGGTGCCCGTGGCGCCGGCGCTCCCGCCACTGCTGCCGAGGTTTGTGGCGTCCGAGTCCGCAGCATTACCCTGATGGGCACGCGACTGCTGCTGCTGCTGCTGCTGCTGCTGCTGCTGCTGCTGCTGCTGCTGCTCGAGTCTCTCAAGGCGCGCCACCAGCGGCAAGGCCACTGGCGCGTCCACGCTGATCTGGACGCCATCGCCGCTGTGTCCGCCGATCGGCCCGTCTTTGCCTGCTGCCTTTGCCCCATTCCGCTCCTGCTCCTTGGCCGCAGATTGAAGCGCAAGCAGCTGTGCATCTGCGGCGCGCTGCCGAGCTTCGAGCTCTGCATTAGCCGCAGCCAAGCGCTCTGTGCGCCCGGCCAGCAGCGCACCAGCCTCGCGCAGCTCGGCCAGACTCAAGATAAGGCCGTTGATGCCACTCAAGTTCACATTGCGAACCACCTGCACACTCTCGACCTCAAGGAAGGGCAAGTCAACCTGCGGACCCGACATGGCTTGCTAAAGGGTGCCTGATCAACTCATTGAAGTGCATTCAATCTACATATGGACCTGGGCTCTACGATCAGGGCCAATCTAATGACCTGAGCTGCTCGCAGATCCCAATCCCCCGCCAAGCATCACTGTCGGGGTGAATTCTTGAACATGGATGTCAAAATTATTTCCCGAAGTCGATTAGGGGCCCTCTGCACATGTCGGTGCAGCTGCCGCGCCGCCCGCTCCGGACAGCAGTCCATCCTGTGCGAGGCGCTTCTCGCCGTGTCGCCTGCATTTGTGGCCTTGAGGCGCCGGGCTGAGTGCACATCGGTGCGGAAGCTCTCACGCGCCTGCTTCCAGTCGCAACGTTGAGGAAACTCTAGCTAACAGTTCAGCGCCCAACGTGGGTGCGGGGCGGTGACCGTTGTCGGGGATGCGGCAGCTCCTTTTCAAGCAGTCAAGTGGCGCTCGAGCAGCAGCGCGTTGGGCCACGCCCTCAGCATACATGTTACACAGCAGCAGCAACCTTGCTGCTCCCACTATGGCGCATCGAGATCAGGCGCGTGCCTCTGCTGCCGCCCTTGGCGCACGCGCGATCCCACCCCGCAATGGCAGGGGCGGGCCGCAGCGAGCGAAGCAAGTGTCTGACACTCACTCACGAGCCAGGCGCCCGCACGCCTTTGCTGCCGCTGCATCTAAAGCACAATCCCCTAAGAGGCTTTCAGACCCGGGCTGCACACTCTCAACAACACAAAAAATCCCAACTGCCGCGTTCAGAAAAAGCTGACGACATCCGAAACCACGACAGGGCGCAACCATCAACACCGCCGCCCCTATTCGTCTGTGAACCGCCGCGAGGGGTCGCCCGCGCCGCCCCCAACGAACGGAAGCAGCTTGAACTTGCGCTTCTTGGGCGGCGCGCCGCAGCCGTCCAGCACGCGCCGCAGCGCCTCGCCCACGTCGAGCTGCGGCAGCACGCACGCCACCAGCGCCCGCGGGTCCGACGCGCCCGCCGCCGCCGCCGCCGCGCGCGTCGCCGCCGCCTCCCTCGCGGCGCCGCCGCCGGCGCCCTGCTGCTGCTGCCGCTGCTGCTGCTGGAGCGCCGCCGCGGCGGACGCGGCGCCGGGGCAGGATTCGACGTAGGTGGTGATGGCGTCGAGAGCAGCGAGCGCCTGGTGGCACAGCGGCCCCTGATCAAGGTTGACAGGCGGCGGGCGGTTGAGATTGGGCATGGGCGTATTAGATGGCGAGGTGCATGCGACGTGTCGAGTCGGGCGGGTCACAACAGATCGGTGTGCCCCGCAAGCTGCGCGCACTGCACTCCCACGCCTTGGGCCCACCTGCGACAGCGCCACCACCGGGCCCAGCAGCCCGCTGTCCCCCGTGAGCAACCCCAGCGCCGCTGGCCCCAGCTCCAGCCCCCGCGTCACGAACAGGCACCGCAGCAGCTCCAGCACCGGCGCGTGCACCGCCGCCGCGCCGGGCAGCAGCAGCGCGCCCGCCGCCGCGCGCAGCGCCCACTCGCCGTGCTCGGGGAAGAACGCGCGGGAGAGCTCCGCGGCCAGGCGCGGCAGCAGCGGCGCGAGGTCCCGCTCGCGCGCATCTGCCAGCGCCTCCAGCCGCGCCCCGAGCTCCCGCAGGCCCTGGGCGCCGCAGGCGGCCGCCAGCGCCAGCAGCGCGCCGCGCAGCTC